CGATCGATTGTTGAACAATGATTTTTCAAACATTTTCAATTTTCCGGAGGCATCGTGTGCGGAGTGTTAACCTAGTGGTGCCTTAAGCTCAATCGCATTAGGTTTTATGCTTAATTAAAATGTACTGGGAAGATATCATAAATTCTGGAACATCGGTTGACCTAGTGACCTAGTGACCTCTTCTGCGTAATAGCGTTTTGCCTAATGGCTTCCAGCCTGTTATAACCTGGCCCAATCCTGCATCTTCAAAAGTGTCCCCTATTTCGAATCTTGGCTCCACTCTACATCTTATATTGCATTATATCTTATATTGTGAGAAGGGTGATTGGTGGGCTGTTAGCGGGCTTGCTGATTACTTGAGTAAACCGAAAAAATACAACCCGAAGTATCCTCCTGCCTTCGGAATATGGAAGCAGGAGCACAAACAGATGTCGTCTATACGGATTTGAAGGCTGCTTTTGATCGAGTTGATCATGCTATCCTGCTAGCTTGGTGTGTCACAGGGCTTCATTCGTTGGTTCAAGTCTTACTTGACAAATCGAGAGCTCTGCGTGAAAATTGGTGCAGCACAATCAAACTCTTTCGCCAATACATCCGGTGCCCCTCAAGGCAGCAACTTAGGATCGTTGCTATTTTCAATCTTCATTAACGAGGTTGGATTGATTATTCCGGCTGGCTGTCTCTCTTTCTATGCAGATGATGTTAGGATTTATGTTGTAGTTCGAAGCCTTACTGACTGTTCACAGTTACAGCATATGATCGAAGACTTTGTGGATTGGTGTTCCAGGAACTTCGTCACGCTGAGAATTCAAAAATGCAGCATCATCTCTTTTCATCGCAAGCAGAAGCCAATCAAGTTCAACTATACAATCAACAATGAACCTTTGCAAACGTGTAAACAGTATCCGCGATCTAGGAATTACGCTTGATCCTGGAATTACATTCAAGCTGCATTATTCTGAGATCATCGCTAAAGCTGATAGACAACTCGGATTTATCTTCAAGATTGCTGATCAATTTCGTGATCCAACATGCCATGCACTGTACTGTTCTCTCGTGCGTTCAATATTGGAATTTGGAGATGTCATCTGGAGCCCATACCAAGCGATTTGGATAGCGAGAATCGAATCCGTTCAGAAAAAATTCGTACGTTATGCATTACGCCACCTCCCATGGAACGATCCTGTCAATCTCCCACCATACGAACATCGCTGCCAACTTTTGGGCCTTGATACATTAGAACGTAGACGCACTATCGCTCAGGCAGTGTTCGTTGCTAAGGTATTTTTGGGCGGTATCGACTCTCCCAGTATGCTCCTGAACGACCATTGTGGACAAGGAATTTCTTACATCTTGGGGCGCGCGCAACAATTTAGGGCCTGCATGATCCAATAAGATTCATGTCTGCTAGTTTTAACAGCTTCTACGAATACTTCGATTTCAACATTTCTGCGGCTGCGTTTCGTAACCGAATTCAACGAAGTCTGCACGAGGGATGAAATCTACTGAAAATTGGAATAACTCGACGTGCAATGATGGGCAAAATTACATTTTGCAACAGGTGAGTAACATTCCAATGCTCTCACAGCTTAAGAAATGTGCCACCTGAATCTTTTTTGTTTCATGTTCACTGTATTTTACTTGACGACGAGGTTCCTAATTTTGTATTTTGAATTGTGTATTGTGAAAAGATGTGGGGTTTTTACGCCATTTCAGCTTTTCCCCATCAAATTATTAAATTTCATTAAGACAACACAAAGTCTGATGAGAAATATTAAATAAATAAATAAATAAAGGGTATCCACAGTTAAATTGCATCATTTTCAAAAAAGCCGTAACATTTTGCCCTTAGGGCAAATTTTAATGGAATTTCGGATGAGATGACCTCAGTGTGTATTGTCTACACTGCGAGAGAATTATTGTGAAATTGCTAGTAGTTTTGAATATGGATTCGCGCGATTCAGTGCGTGCGTGAGAACATTTTGCACACTCACCTCAACAACCTACATCTTTCGCACCGAGTCATCGGAAAGATGTAGGGAATCCAACAATCTACTGTTTCTCGTGTCATAAAACGTTTCGGAGAACGTTTAACTGTCGATCGGATGCAAGTTAGTGCCAGAAAAAGTGTTCCGTACTACGTTGAAGATCGCAAGCAAGTGGGTACTGCCTTCAAACGCAAACCCAACTATTCCGTTCGGGATGTCGCGAAAAAAATGCACCTGACGAAAAGTTTCGTGCAGAATGCCAAGAAACGAGCAGGGCTACGTTCATTCAAGGTTCAAAACGTACCAAACGACAGAACAGGAAACGCAAGACACGTAAGCTGTACACACAAATGTTGACAAACCCACACTTCTATATCATGGACGATGAAACATACTTTAGAGGACTTAAAACCAATTCCAAATTCCAAGTTCAATGTTTCCTGTTCCTCAGGAAACAGCAAGTGTCAAAGTGTCGCAAGAAATTCATGATCTGGGTTTAGCCCAGAGATGCCAGATTTACAGACATGTCTGTGAATTTACAGACTTTTATTTTTTTCACAGACATTTACAGACTTTTTGGTATTTTCACAGATACTTACAGACTTTTATAACAAAGGAAAAAATTTAAAATTTATTTGGTTACACTGTTTTACATCTTTAATCAAATAACACGTGCGATTCATTTAACAACACGCATTAGAAATTCGTCAGTTTTCAAATCCACCATACGAACGAGCTGTCACTGCTATAGACGGTCATAGTTATAGCTGCCATGTTGTATCCAAAACGAACATTTTCCATACGATTTGATGTTTTTTTTTTTTTTGATTCGTCAACTCACGTTGACCGGTCTATAACTTGACTGTCTATAGTCACTGTCACTAAAAAAGTTAATGAAACCGAGGGGGACGAAAGTCCTAGATTTATTCAAAATTTGCCAAAAAATACTTTAAAGTTTGATTTATTGATCTCTATAAGTATCATGACAAGTAACGATGAAAGCCGTTTGTTTATAAGAAAGGAACGTCGTGAAATCTCAACCAACAATTCAAAACAGCGGATCAGCTTTTGTAATCAAATCTTGTAATGATCTTTTGTCGCAAATCGATGCTCGCCTTGTCACATCAACAACACCGTCAGCAAGGAAAAATTCTCTCCTATCCGATGGTGGAATTGGTTTGCGTAAGCGTACTTCAGTTTGGTCATTACAAGTTTGCTGATCCACTCTTTGGTTGATAAATCTGTTCGAAAATCGTATGTTCAAAAATCATTTATAGTGATTCCTTGAAGAGTCCACAAATTGCCTGATGATGGCATGTGTTCTAGAGCACAATTTTCGTATACAGTTGTGACATCACTCATGAAATTGGAACTCCCTGTTTGATGCATCAAATGTGAAGTTCCAGATTCATTGTTGTATGTTTTGTGGCAGCTGTGCTCTTGAAATTTTGAGGTGATAGTATGGCGCATTACACACATTATAGGAAGTGCGGAAACGCGAATGGGAATTCTCCGATATCTCCGATGGTCATTACTGATTTCCATCACTACCCTAACAGACCTCCCCAATCTCAGGCATCCGGTGAAGATCAGCATCGATGGCACCAATCGTTTGGTCTTGGGTTTGGTCGAGTCGCGGCTTGGTCACGTTTGGCCATCAATTCTGTTGCCAAATCTGCTGGAAAATATCGTTGCTTCCAGAGTTTGAACATGCAACAATCACAAAAGCAGGTGCTCAAGAAAGTAACCGTTCACATCACAAAACACACTAAAAACAACATCAGCATAATGCTCGATAATTCTACCACATCCAAGATTATCGATGAATAGTGAATGAAATCGGATAATATCGGCAGGTATTTGTTATTAATCATTACGACTCGAGTTTATCTTAAAAAATCAAAATTTTTAAGCATATTTTATAGAAATCCGTTAAATGAAATGTGAAGCAGATTACTGTCGTCTCTGTTGAATGAAACGGACAGTATTTCTATCCTATTCCATCTTTTTATTCGAGAACATCCACATGCAGTTTTAGTGCTGAACGAAGCAGCCATTTTCGCCGTTTTGTACCTCTGAATAAGAGTCGTAAAAATATGGAAAAAATCGAGAAAAATCAAAGAAAACCCAAGAGAAAGCTTCATAACGAACTTTTTCAAATGTCAGGTAACCTACACTCCCGATCATAAGTTTAAGGACACCCCCAAAAAAACATGACAAATTTGTTATGTTCATATCTCTGTCATGTTACGTCCAATTTTCGTTCTCTTTAAATCATTTGAAAGGTATTGGCAAATTGTTCAATATAATTTTCAAATTTTGTGTGCTAAAAGTTCGCCCACAGCTACAACATTTTTCAAAATTTACTCTGAAGAATCGTGACTGATTTTCTCAGAATTGGGTTGGCCAAATTTTGAAATAAAAGTAGTTGTAGAACACTTATGCTATACCATTCATACAATTCAAATAACCTTTGGAGATCAAAAATTGAACGTAAAATGAGAGATCATTGAACAAAACATATTTGCATGGTTTTTTGGGGGTGTCCTTAAACTCATGATCGGTAGTGTATAAGTTAAGGGAAATCAACACTGAAAAAAGTTTTCACTTAGTTTCTATTAAGAACGCACATAGTATTTTTCCAAAAAAAAAACAAAAACAATAATTTTTACCTGAATATCACTGTTCGGGACACTACTTGCCGTTTCGCGTGGCAAGTCACACCGATAGTTTACGACGGGATAGTTGGTTTTCGGATTCGCAAAGGAAAGTGTTCTCTGTTTACTGGTCACTGAACAACTGAACTTTATTTCTCCTATCGGTTACACTTCTTGTGTGGATGAGCGAGATTGCGTGTATGATTGAGAGTGAGTGCTATTACGTGTATGTGTTATACAATTCAAGGTAAGTATGGTTTTAGGTACTACATGTTTAAATTCACTTTATTCAATTGATTTCGGGTATCCAAGAAACTTGCCGCAACATGCCGGCCCCCGTTGACAACGTCCAGTTTCAACAGATAACTTGGTCGTTCGTTGTAGCTTCTTCGTCCTGCTCGGTTGGAAGAACCGACACTTCAGTCACGGCTCGCTTGTAGCGGCCGCCCGCAGTCTTTACGACAACCACCCGAACTCGGCCGTCCTTGCCCGGAATGGTCTCGACGATACGCCCCAAAGGCCAGTGGAGAGGTGGCGTATTCTCCTTCAGAAGGACTAGTTGACCTGGTCGTAGATCGGTTTGTTGCTTTCTCCACTTCGTCCGTTGGTGAAGCTGGCTCACATAGTCACGTGACCAACGAGTCCAAAGGTCCTGCAGCGTTTTCTTCATATCCTGTAGGCGACTGAGCCGTCCAGGATTGATGTGGTTCAGATCTGGTTCCGGGATTGCGACGAGTGGTTCCCCGACCAGGAAATGTCCTGGCGTCAGAGCCGCCAGATCATCGGGAGAATCAGTGAGCGGTGATAGGGGGCGAGAATTGAGCACTGCTTCAACTTGCGTGACGACTGTGTGGAACTGATCCACCGAGAATGCTTTCAGTCCCATGATTCGACGGAAATGGTATTTGAATGATTTGATTCCCGCCTCCCAAATGCCACCGAAGTGTGGCGAGCGGGCGGGGATGAACTGGAACTTGATCCCGTTGTCCAAGCAATGGTTTCGCCATTCGTCGCCCTTGAACTGCTGCAGGAACTCTTTACGCGACGCGATGAGCTCACGATCCGCCCCGACGAAAGCGGTCGCATTATCGCAATGTAGCTCCACTATACGTCCGCGCCGCGCGACGATGCGCTTCACGGCGTTGATACACGACGCGGCGGATAAATCAGCGACGATTTCGATGTGCACGGCCTTCACCACCAGACAGACGAAAAGCGAAACGTACATTTTCACCGACGCGCCCCTCCCATTCAGCGGACGAACGAGAAACGGCCCACAGTAATCCATTCCCGAATACAAGAACGGTCGTGCTGGTGTAGTGCGTACTTCCGGCAACGGTGCCATGATTTGAGTTGACAGCTTAGGATGACACCGAAAGCAAGTGACGCATTGACGAACTACTGCACGAGCTAGATCACGACCCCGGAGTGGCCAGAATCGTTGACGTACTGTAGCAAGCAGAAGTGAAGGTCCACCGTGCAATGTTTTGAGGTGTACTGCTCGCACGATCATCAAGCTCAGTTTGTGGTCGGACGGTAGCAAGATCGGAAATCGGGTGTCGAATGGTGCGTTCGAGTAGCGTAAACGACCATCGATTCGTAGCAACCCGAATTCGTCCATGAAAAGGTTCATCTTTCGAAGAGGGGACTTTGGTCCAAGATTCGGTGGCGTCGGGGAATTCTTCTGGAGAGTGTATATCTTGACTTCTGCCGAAAAGGAGGAACGTTGAGCGAGACGAGCTAGAACCTTCAGTGCATGATCACATTCATCAGGCGACAGTGATCCAGTTGAGCGCTGCTCCTTTGGCCGCTTGCAGTTGTGGTAAAACCTGTAGCAGTGGGCAATACCTTTCAGCAGGTTGGCGAGCTCTGAATATCGGTCGAAGAGCTCTTGATCTACTGTGTTGATATGTAATGCGACGACACGACGAGCCTCCTCGTTGACGAATTGATCATCTGGCGTCGGGAATATTGATTCTGGCCATTGCTCCTTCGGGTATCGCAGGAATTTGGGACCATGCCACCATAGATCGTCTTTCGCGATCTGACTTGCCAGGGTACCTCGCGAAATCCGGTCGGCCGGGTTTAAGTCCGTGGAAACATGTCTCCACTCGAATGCCTTTGTAAGTCGTTGAACCTCAGCCACCCGATTGGAAACGAAAACTTTCCAGATGTTGGATCTCGACTTTAGCCAGTGTAGAACGATTGTGCTGTCGGTCCACATTGTCGTTGACGCTGTAAATTCGGTAGTCCTATGTAAAGAGTCCACGAGCTGACTTCCAAGTAGCGCAGCACAAAGCTCCAGCCGTGGAATAGATTGTCCACGCAGTGGTGCAACACGAGACTTCGAGGTAAGAATGTGACTATGGAGCTCTCCCGTTTCGTCTGGCGAAACGACGTAGACACAGCACCCGTAACCTTTCGTTGAAGCGTCGCAGAAGCAGTGAAGAGAATATTGACGAGAAGTGTTTGCAAGAATCCTTCTCGGAACTTGTAGGATCGATAGCTGCTGGATGTCAGTTCGATAAGTCATCCACCATTCTTGCAATTCGGTAGAGAGCTCCGTATCCCATGGCAAGTGTTCCGCCCAGAGTGTTTGCACAAACATTTTGGCACACAGTACGACAGGCCCGAGCAGACCGATGGGGTCGAACAAGCGGGACATCTCGGACACAACTACCCTCTTGGTGATGACGGCGTGCTCAAAAAGGGCTGGTATCTTGAACATGAGCTGGTCGGATTCAGGAAACCACAGAAGGCCTAGCGTCTTGACGGCAGTCGAACGATCGATTTCTAACTTTCTTGAGGTTTCCCATAACTCGGTAGGAACGTTCACTAGTGCCGTGCTGTCGTTGGCCGCCCATTTTCGCAATACGAAACCTGCACCTTCAAGCAAGGCGATGAGCTGCCCACAAGTTTCCTGAAGGGTGTGTAGATCGTCGTGCCCAGTCAATACGTCGTCGACGTAGGTTCCCTTCCGGATGACTGGCACTGCGAGAGGGTAGTGTTCTCCGTCATCAGTTGCCAATTGATTGAGCACTCGAGTTGCCAAGTATGGTGAGCTGGCCAGTCCGTACATAACCGTCTTCATTTGGTAAACGCAAATTGGCTCGGACGGATCGTTCCTCCAAAGAGTTTGCTGGTATCTGCGGTCAGCTGGATGTATCCAGATCTGCTGGAACATCTTCTGTGCATCAGCGGTAAAGGCAAAGCGTGGCATCCGAAAATTGATGACGGTTGCTTGCAGCGGTGGCTGCACTGTGGGTCCAATGCACATGACTTCGTTTATCGACAGGCCGTTGGCACCATGGCTGGATCCATCGAATACAACCCGAGTCTTCGTTGTTGTGCTCTCTGGGCGATGGATGGCGTGGTGGGGGAGGAAAAACTGTGGGCCGGATAACGCGCGCGAATTTACCTCCATGTGGCCCAACTTCTGGTACTCCTCCATAACGTTGCTGTATTCTTCATGAAAGTTTTCATCAACGGCGAACTTCTTCTCCATCGACAGCAATCGACGAAGTGCAGGAGTATACGAGTCCCCGATTAGCGAAACCAATTCTTTCCGCAACGGAAGGTGAACGACGTATCGACCATTCTCGTCCCTCGAAATGGTTTGCTGGAAATGTTCCTCACAGAACTGCTCGTCTGGAGTGAATGCCTTTTCACTATCAAGATTCTCAATTTCCCAGAACCTTTCCAACTGGGAATCGAGCGACTCATCGGTACAGAGATGACTAGACTGCACAACTACCTCTGTGGTAGCTTGTTCCGTGACTTTACCACAGACGACGAAACCGAGAACGGTTTTTTGGAGGATTGGATAGCCAGCATCTAGACTGATCTGCTGGTTTTCCAGAAGCAAGTAGAAAAGTTCAGCGCCGATGATGACATCAACCCCTTGGATAATGTTGAACTGCGGATCGGCAAGTGGTAGATGCCTTGGAATCCGCCAGCGTGTTACGTCGATGCTGCAACTGGGTAGTGCAACGGTGAGCTTCGGTAAAACCAAGCAGTCAAGATTGGATGTGAAGGTACCAAAGCGAGAGGCAATCGACATGGTTACACCGTAGCGTACGTTAACCATAGACTGTCCGATACCGCTGACTGGAGAATTGAGCTTTGTCCGCTTTAAGTTGAGCCTTTGACACAGTGCTTCGGAGATGAAGCTGGGCTGGGATCCACTATCCAAGAGCGCACGAGCGTATTGGTATTTATTGTCCCCATCCAGGACCTTGATCACGGCAGTAGAAAGCAGCACGGCATTTGTGTTCTGTTTGTGGATCACTTCAGCACTTTGACAGGCATTAGGAGGTAAATTTGAATCGAACGAGACTACCGACGACGAGGGAGGTTCGTAACCGAAAGCGGACGATAATTCGCGAAACGACGACACGAGTGGTGAGGCGTTCGAAAGCTCAACCGACCGAGAGCTTTGTACCGAACCGAGTTGCGATTGTTGATTTTGCGAACGATTCGATTAAGCGAAGGAATTTAGTTGTACCGGATGTTGTAGACGGTTGCCCATTGTGGTCGAAGGTGATAAATGTAACATCGTATGGTGTTTCTTCGCACAGGTTTTGCATCCGCCACTGGTACAGTCCTTCGCTAGATGGGCCCCTTTCATGCAGTTGATGCAGAGGCCGTTCCTTTTGATGAGATCGAACCGTTCGTGAGGAGTGAGGGACTGGAATTTGCCGCACTGAAACAGCAAATGTTGCTGCTGACAGCAGGCGCACACTACAGTGTTCGATGAGCTTACGTGAACAGCAGAAACACGTAGCTTCGACTTGCATTCGGGCTGCAAGCCAGCGCTAGGTTGGGAGAGCATAAGGGTTTGTAAGATTCGGGATCGCTTGTGGATGAAATCGACGACACGTTGATATGTTGGTCTAACTTCGCCCGAGAATTGTGTTTCCCATTCGCGAAGAGAGATGGGATCTAGACAACTACTGAGTCGTTCCACCAAGAACGAGTTCCAATGCTCTTCAACTCCCTCAAGCTTATCCAAAAGTTGAACATGGCGGTCAAACTCATCTGCCAAATCTAGAAGTTCACTAGCAGACTCTCTTTTAAGTGGAGAAATTGAAAGCAAGCCAGTCATGTGACGCTTGATTAACATCGGCTTGTTCTCAAATCGGTCTTTCAGTAGCTTCCATGCTACCGAATAATTGTTTGCGGTGATATCGAGGGGAGCAATCATGCGTGCAGCCTCGCCAGTGAGCGATGCACGCAGATAATGCAGCTTCTGCACCATGGTTAGCTGCTGGTTTGAATGAATCAGTGAGATGAAAAGATCGCTGAATGACTCCCATTCATCAAACTTGCCGGAAAATTCTTTGAGTTTGATTTCTGGAAGACGGAGATTTGGCACAGACTGAGCAACGGGGATCGGAGGATTTCTAGACGACGACGGAATACACGGAGGGGGTACCTTGGTTGTCAACGATGCCTTCAGGGTGTAATAAAGACTTTGAAATGTCCGTCTCTCATCACTGAACTCGTCATCTGCGTCTTCAAGATCTTCGATTTCATTTTGTACTCCCTCAAATTCCCGCCACAATTCGTCCAAATGTTGGATACGAATTGGAAGTTGATTGGCCTGATCCACGACGTACTCAACGTCAAACGTCTGGATCAGCCCTGCCGAATTTAAAATATTTGCACGCCGACGGTACAGGCATTTCATTTTGGTCGCCTTACTGATCCGCTTCGACGGCGCCATCGTGTTGGTTACCCCGAGAAAAGGAAAGAATTTACCTCGTAACGCCTCTTACGCGCCGTGTCGACGACTATGATGATACCAACTGATAATCCGGACGAAGATTGACCCCTTCCGACTACACCGGTACCAGCAAGGATGATCGGCACCAGCTATCAGCTCCAGGCAACGACGATCAATGAGGCGATCAGCACCAACCACCACCAACCAATCGAGTGACGATCAGCAAGTTTCCAATATTCACTACGCGGCAGCAAACTATTCTTTTTGTTCGGGAGCGATATCCCTAGTAGAAAGCGCACTAACAATAATCGTCGTAGGTCTATTCACCCTGTGATAATGGAAAATAAATCAGCAACGTGGCTGCAAAGAGATATTTACTACAATAGGGTGTATCCTGTGTGGGCACTAGCAGTATTTTGTTCACTTTTCATGCCACGGGCACAGTTCAACACACTTTTTTTCGTATCTTAGACACTTTCTATCGATCCGGTGGGATTTGTGTCTTGGACACCCAAAAAAAAACGAAAAGTTCACACGTGAATTGATTCGGATCAATTAGGCACCGTCGTGGACGGTTTAAAGAGGGCCACGATCAATTAATTAGCAACGTGGTTGCTACTACAACATGCGACCTAGAACAATAGTGGTTTCTGGAACCTTGCCTATGCCGTGGGCATACTTTTTCGTGTCTTGGACACTAAATTGACTCGGACCGGCCCGATGGTATCTGTATCTTGGACACTATATCGGCGACAACGATGTTCACTTGCGAAATGACGCGGATCAGACTATCACCACCGTTGACGGTTCAACGTGACGAACAATTAATTAGCAACGTGGTTGCTACTACACAATGTGATGTAGAACAATAGCGGTTATAGGAACCTTCCCCGTGTGCACTATTAGTAGCAAATTTTATTCACTTTCTATGCCGTGGGCACATTTTAGCGCACTGTTTTCGTGTCTTGAACACCAAGTTTGTTGGATCCACTCCGACGAAATCTGTGTCTTGGACACTTCACAACGACATAACGCGAATCAGGTTCATTCCCGGGTTTCGGCACCAAAAAATGTTCGGGACACTACTTGCCGTTTCGCGTGGCAAGTCAAACCGATAATTTACGACGGGATAGTTGGTTTTCGGATTCGCAAAGGAAAGTGTTCTCTGTTTACTGGTCACTGAACAACTGAACTTTATTTCTCCTATCGGTTACACTTCTTGTGTGGATGAGCGAGATTGCGTGTATGATTGAGAGTGAGTGCTATTACGTGTATGTGTTATACAATTCAAGGTAAGTATGGTTTTAGGTACTACATGTTTAAATTCACTTTATTCAATTGATTTCGGGTATCCAAGAAACTTGCCGCAACAATCACATAGAATTAGAAATTCTATATGAGAAATCATATAGATTTCATTGGACACATAAAGTTCATGTGATTTAGTGGTGCAATTTCCAATTATGGGATCACATGAAAGTTATGTGAAATTCACATGGATATTTTCCACTGGTTATGTGATTTATTTTATGAGTGAATACAAATACTTGCACTAATTATTATGCAGAGTTTCATGTGATTTCAGGTATCGCACGATGCATTTCGCTGCTGGCTTGCAAAAGGACCAGTACTAAGTAGCGAACTGATTTCCACACTACATAGCATATAAGATCGACTCAAATTTAAGTTTAATTTACTCTAGACTTTAGAATGGAGGCGAACCAGCCTAAGGCTGAAAGCCTCCTAAATAAAGCTAAATAATAATAATAGACTTTAGAAAACGTAATTTACTTGTAGACTGAGTATAATTTTCCGAGCCTCATAAATCTTTTCGAATATCGACGAAAAATTTATTCATTTTAGAAGTACACACTCAAAGAATAAATCACATATCCAATGGAAAATATTCATTACAATTTCACATCACTTTCATGTGATATCATAATTGGGAATTGCATCACAAAATCACATGAACCGTATGTGTCAAATGAAATTTAAGTGATTTATCATATAGAACACACATGAATGTTACGTGAGATTCAGATAGATATTTTTGGTTTTGTTAATGAAATACATGAAAACTTTTGTCCGTGTACTAATTTCATATGCACATCGAGATGTTGCTCATATTAGAAAACAAATTCCTGTCAAAGCTCTGGAAGTTTTACTCAGTCTATGAGTTAGCTACGTTTTCAAGAATATGAGTGGACTTATCTCATCTTTGAGTCGACCTTATTTGTCGTGTAATCGTAATTTATCTTTTTATTAATTGCTTTTAACGTATACGGCGTCAATGGATGCATTCTCAACTCCAATGAGGTTCAATTAGATTTTTAGCAGGTCATTTTGCTCGAACATGATTTTAACAGACATTTCGAATTTCGCATCTATTTCATGATCCCCCCCCCCCCTTCGTCACGCGCAAAACTTCTGCTAAATTTATGCAGCCCAATTACAGACATTTCTGAAATTCACAGACATTTTTCGCAGGCTTCTCATAAAAAAAAAAGTTGGCATCTCTGGTTTAGGCTCTTTTCACTACTCCAAGGACGTTCTGGAGTGGTACGAGATGAATGGAGTCAATTTCGTGCCGAAGGATCTCAATCCCTCAAACACACCGAAGTTGCGGCCGATCGAAAGATACTGGGCTATAATGAAGTACGAACTCCGTAAGCAGCCTAAAGTTGTCACTACGGAGCACGAAATGTTGAAATCATAATTGAAAACAGAATAAAATGTCAACCGTTGTACAAAACCTTATGGGTGGAATTAAGTTGCAAAGTTTTAAACCTTATTCCAAAGAAATTTAAAAGTAGCGATTTTGATGTTTCAACATCTATAAAACCTGAAAATTCGGTATGCTATGCCAATGGATAGCTGAATTGTGAACGCATCGAGCTCAAATCAGTTTCCAAGTTATGAGCTCGCCATTTTAAAAACCCCCCCAAGTAACCAAAAGTTCCGCATTCAATGATAAAACTCACTTCCATGTTCCATAAAGATCGAATAAAGTTCTGACAGAACTTTCAAGTTCCATAAAGTTCAAATAAAGTCCCAATAGAACTTTCAAGTTCCATAACGTTCAAATAAAGTTCCGATTGAACTTTCAAGTTCCATAAAGTTCAAATAAAGTTTCGACAGAACTTTCTTCCCAAGCAGTGTTGGGAAAATATCAAAAAATCAAATCTCACCAACGCCCAAGATCACGCTTGATTTTCGTAGACAACAATCAACAAGCAAGCAACTGCGGTTGATTTTGCAAGCTGTGATATCGCAGCTCGGAATATCAAGCTAACAAAACTCACCAACTGCAAATCTCACCAAACCGTGGTGAGATTGAGTTTAATGATTTTTGCTTTGCACCCGAATGCAACAAAAACTTCCATAACGGCTTGCAGCAGTCCCTTCGCGTCTACCATCGGTGAAGATTAAAAAGAGATAGCAAACTATGCTTTCTCTTTCTAAGAAAACGATGTGCAATGGAATCATTTTTGTGTCGAGTCAACTCTCAGCTTGATTTTTGCACGTTGTGAATAGTCTCGCAATATCAAAGGAGCTTATAAAATCATTATCAAGCATGATATTTTGTTCCAATATCACGCGTGATATTGCGAGCCCATGAGAGCGGAAAAATATCAATTGATTTCGGAATTTGCCAACACTGTTCCCAAGCAACAAAAAGTGCCGTATACAACGATAAAACCCACTTTCAAGTTCCATAAAGTTCCGATGCGTACACCTATCAACTTGAAATTCAAAAAAAGTTTCAAAAGAAGTAGAAGGGTCTGTGTCTAGGGGCATGAACGGAAGCTTAACGTAGGACCGCTAGTGGACGGAACAAATATGTTGATCATTTAGTTCTTAGCTGTTTCCGTTTTTGAATTGGTGGCCGGTTGTTTTTCAAATGGTGGCCACACCAGTGCAAGTCGATGCCGACCGGATGACGGCGGCCTAGTCATGCTGCCTATTGCGGGAAGCTTTTCCTCCGGTCGATGTGGGTGTTTTCGTCGTCGTGTCTTCGTATTGGTGCGATGCGTGTTGTTCCACTCATACGTCCTGTCCGACGCTTATCCGTCCATTGCTCGAAAGCAAATGACGGAAAAAACGATATGGCAAGCATTTTTATTATCGCTGTTTTTTTCCTCCCTTCCTTTCATCGGTGAAATGGTGAGCGGTCAACCGAGCATTGAGCTCGCTCATGTCAGCATGCGCAATGTGTCGTGTGTTCGATTTACGCTCTATCGTTGCGTCCGTGTTTGGGATTTTTCGTTACATGTCTGAATTTTGTTTTTTTTTTTTAAATGTTACCCCCAGTATAGAAATGAAAGACGTAGTCCTACGTCAAAAGCATCTCTAATCACTTCTTAGGAACTTCAGGCAAGGCTGAAAACATGGCCACAACAAAGTTCCGAACAAGCTGCCACGCAGAAGGACTGGGTTTAATGCTATAAACAGATTCGTACTAATACTAATGCTGATAAATCAATACACGTTCATACCTGCCTTCAGAAATAACGCACTTTAACGAACAATGTAAAATTGGTGTAGAGGACAAAAACCTGTTTTTAACTTATTTTCTAAAAGTTCCGTTCAAGTTCCCCCAGAAGCTGCTTAGAATGCTCTTCAATTATGGTACCGGAACTTTCACGATCTAATTGCTATTAAGATTTAAGAATGAGGCTGCTTAGAATTCTATAGACCACCTTCAACCAAGCTGCTTTAGCCACAAATAGCCTTTTATCAGAACTTTTGGTTACTTGAGCCTGCTCTCACTTGTTTTCCTCTTGATTTGTTTTCCGTCGATCTTACTTTCCGTACTGAGTACCAGCAGCTCTCACAACTAGACCTTACCGATCGACCCACCACAATTCATGAACCGGGACCAGAGCTTTACTTCACTTCCGAAATAAGGCGTGATCAGAGATTGTATGTCTCAGAACATCTCGGCGGCGCAGACTGCGATTGAACCCAGGCCTTTTGTGATGAGAGGCAATCACGCT